CAATACATCTCAGGTGGAAAGTGTTTGTTTTGTAATCAACTTTCTTTACATTTATCACATATTACTCCCAGTGACTCCAGTGTTTAGTCCCCTGCAGGACTGTTCATATTCTAGATAAATTCAGACAAACTGTATCTGTAGGGGAAGTAATATTTTTTTTCAATATTTAACATCAATTAACTTTTATTCTAAGGAAACAGTGGCATTTTCTCCTCCTATTCAGACTTATTTTCCTGCATGTTTATTGTTTTAGCTAGAGGTACCTTGTTTAATGTTTATAGTAAGCTTCAGTTTAATATTTATATTTAGTGTGTCTGGTAAGAGATAACAAAGAGAGTAGGAAATCTGTTCTCTCTAGATACATTTGCAAAACTGTGCATATAATTTCTATTCAGTGAAAAAGGATAAAATCTGTATACTATTGAAAATCTAGAAGGTTAACTGTTTTTGGTGTGGTCAAGTATGTAGCTCACAAAACATCTCTCTTTTGTATTTTTTTGTATTACAGGTAGCATAGTGTACCTTGGGATGATGGTGGGGGCGTTCTTCTGGGGAGGCTTGGCAGACAAGGTGGGAAGGAGACAATCACTCCTGATATGCATGTCTGTCAATGGATTCTTTGCCTTCCTCTCATCCTTTGTCCAGGGCTATGGCTTCTTCCTCTTCTGTCGCTTGTTTTCTGGATTTGGGTAAGCTCCTCTGGTTTTGTTCATTTTCACAATTCTATGTGTTAATAAAACATTTCTGTTTGCAAAAGCACATTTGTTAATGTAGAAATACACTAATAGTGTAGAAATGCACACTGCGTCAGAGGTGAGAGAAATAAGCAAGGTAGCTACTACACTCCTAAATAACCTGAAGGGGAAAAATAATTTTGGGGGAAAGAAACAGACTGAAAACTGTGAAACTGAATTTGTTGTTATATTGCATGGGATTTGTTTTGTGGACTTGATCAACCTGTTAACTCTTCTATGCCTTGTCTTCTTTATGTATTTTTTTCCGTCAGCAAAATAACACTCTCCTCACAGGTGTATGCTAAATACACAGAGGTGTATTTTGGTAATATTTATAAAGTTTCTAATGTCTCTGTGTGCACAATATTGTTTATAATACCATTTCATCAAGATAGTCAGATTTAAAATGGGGTCCTAAACTGTGCCAGATTCACAGAATTCACAGAATCACCAGGTTGGAAGAGACCTTCAAGATCATCGAGTCCAACCCAACTCTAACACCTCAACTAAACCGTGGCAGCAAGTGCCACATCCAGTCTTTTTGTAAACACATCCAGGGATGGTGACTCCACCACCTCCCTGGGCAGATCATTGCAATACTTTATCACCCTTTCTGTAAGAAACTTTTTCCTAATATTCAACCTATATTTCCCTTGGTGCAGCTTGAGACTGTGTCCTCTCATTCTGTCAGTTGCTGCCTGGTGAAAGAGACACCCTCACCTGAGTACACCCACCTTTCAGGAAGTTGTAGGGAGTGATACTAGATAGACCCCTCCTCCGAGTCTACTTTTCTCCAGGCTAAACAGCCCCAGCTCCCTCAGCCATTCCTCACAGGGTTTGTGTTCCCAGCCCCTCACCAGCCTCGTTGCCTCCTCTGGATGTGCTCAAGTGTCTCAATGTCCTTCCTGAACTGAGGGCCCAGAACTGGACACAGAACTCCAGGTGTGACCTCACCAGCGCCGAGTACAGGGGTACAATGACCCCCCTGCCCCTGCTGGCCACACTATTCCAGGGGCCATTTGGCTTCTTGGCCACCTGGGCACACTGCTGGCTCATGTTCAGCCACTGTCACCAGTACCCCCAGGTCCCTTTCTGCCTGGGCACTGTCCAGCCACACTGTCCCCAGCTTACAACATTGAAGGGGTTTTTTGAGCCCAAAACTCAGGACTCAGCACTTGGACTTATTAAACTTCATCCCACTGGACTCTGCCCATCCTTCCAACCATTCCAGGTCTCTCTGCAGAGCCCTCCTCCCTTCCAACAGATCAACACACACTCCCAGCTTAATGTCATCTGTAAATTTACTAATGAAAGACTCAATAGCCTCATCCAGGTCATCTATAAAAATATTGGACAGGACTGGCCCCAGCACAGACCCCTGAGGGACACCACTGGTGACTGGACACCAGCTGGGTGCAGCAGTGTTCACCACCACTCCCTGGGCCATCCAGCCAGTTCCTAACCCAGCACAGAGTGCTCCTGTCCAAGCCATGGGCTGCCAGCTTCTCCAGGAGTGTGCTGTGGGAGACAGTGTCAAAGGCCTTGCTGAAGTCCAAATGGACACATCCACAGCCTTTCCTGCATCCACCAGGTGGGTCACCTGGTCATAGAAGGAGATCACTTTGGTCAGACATGACCTGTCCTTCCTAAACCCATGCTGGCTGGGTCTGATCCCCTGGCCATCCTGTAAGTGCTGCACGATGACAATATAAAAAGTTCCATCACCTTACTGGGTACTGAGGTCAGGCTGACTCTCCTATAATTACCAGGATCCTCCTTCCCACCCTTTTTGTGAATGGGCATCACATTGGCCAGCTTCCAGTCATCTGGAACCTCACCAGTGAGCCAGGACTGTTGGTAAATGATGGAGAGCAGCTTCACAAGCTCATCTGCCACTCCTCATCACCCTGGGATGGATCTCATCTGCTCCCATGGATTTATAAACATCCAAGCGGCTCAGCAGGTCTCTGACTGCCTCCTCTTGGATAATGGGGGGACCATTCTGCTCCCTGACACCATCTGCCAACCCAGGAGAACAGTTGTCCTGAGGACAAGTTGCTTTCCCACTAAAAATTGAGGCAAAGAAGGCATTGAGCACTTCAGCCTTCTCCTCATCTGCAGTTACTAAGTTCCCCCCAGCATAAGACTGAACAAAGGCTGGTCTTACCCTTCCTTTACTTTTAATGTAGTTGTAAAAATATTTTTTCTTATCCTTTACAGAAGTCACTATTTTAAGTTCAAACTGAGCTTTTGCCTCTGTCATTATTTCTTACATGCCCTAGCAACCCCCTTAAATACTTCCTGAGAGACCTGACCCTCCTTCCAAAGCTGATACATCCTCTTTTTATTCTTAAATTCCTCCAAAACCTCCTTACCCATCCAGGCTGGACGTTTGCCTCATTGACTTGTCTTTCAGCACACAGGGATAGTCTGCTCCTGTGCCCTCAAGATCTCTGTTTTGAAGCACATCCACCTTTCCTGGACTCTTTTGCTTTTAAGGGCTGCTTCCCAAGGAAGTCTCTGAATAAGTCTCCTAAATAGACCAAAGTCTGCCCTCCAGAATTTCAATGTAAAAGTCTTATTGATGCTCCTCCTGATTTCACCAAATATTGAGAACTCCATAATTTCATGATCACTGTGCCCCAAGCAGTCTCAAATCACCACCACATCTCCCACCAGCCCTTCTCTATTTGCAAAAAACAGGTCTAACATAGTCCCTTCCCTGGTGGGCTCACCCATCAGCTGCAACAAAAGTTGTCCACCATACACTTAAAAAATTTCCTGGACTTCCTCTTTTCTGCTGTAAGTTTCCAGCAGATGTCTGGCAGGTTGAAGTCACCTACAAGAACAAGGGCTGGTGATCCTGAGACGTTCTCCAGCTGCTTATAGAATGAGTTGTCTGCCTCTTCTTCCTGGCTGGGTGGACGATGACAGACTCCCAGCAGGATGCCAGCCTTGTTGGCCTTCCCTTAATAAATATTATTCTCTCTGAAAGAATGTTTTTTACAGACCTGTGTTTTCTTTGCTTTTCATATAAATAACTTCTCAGTGATTAAATTTATAAATTTAAACTCTTTTGAGCAGAGACAGAGGTACGTAAGTAAATTACTATGAGAAAACCTCTACCTCTACTGCACCCTTGGATACACAAGAGCTGTCTTCTACAGACTGCTTAGTTTAGCACTTCTGGTCATTGCTTGATTCAGATTAAGGCTCCTAATTACAGTTCCAACTCAGACCACCATCAGTCTTTAGTATGCTGAATAGACAGGATCTGGTGAGAGCACAGCAGCTGTGTTATAAGGTCATACACAGGAACTCCACTGCTTTTATGGTTTGTTTCCTTTATGTTACATAGCCATGGTTCAGCAATGCAGTTGTGTGATATTTGTGTTTTGAGAAATCCTTTGAACTCATCTGAAGTAGGCTAGGGCTCGACATGAATACCAAAAAGAAATTACCATGGCACTCAGTAATTTTAAACTGATTTAGGAAGAGGAATAGAAGGACAAGAGGAGAGAGAAAGATGTGAGGAGTCTTCTTGCTAGAAAAATCTCCTTAGTCTGTCACCAGATTATCAGATATGACTTTATAAGATAACAAGGGAAAATGACAATATTCTAATTCCTAAAAACCCCAAATCCCATAGAAAAACAAAATTTTAAAATTCCCACATCATAAATCATCGTCAGTTCCAGGAGCTATTTTTTTTTTCACCCCATGGAGAAACACTACAGATCGTGTTTCATGACTCTTTCACTCTTTTGTGATCCTGGCAAAGCTGAGAAGCTTGTTGTATTACTGCTTAGTCTGGCCAATTCACTGGACCCTTATGCTACAAAGGTTTGTTTGTTAGCAGACAGGTTTGGCTTTAACCTATATTGTCCATTTAGGGATATATTGCAAAATATGTATTCATTATGGCTCATTAGAAACTTGCCTGCACCATTTCCTCCTCACCTGTCCAGGAGCTTTTCCAGTAAGTGTCAGCAGCTTTCCTTGTGATACATGTACATCCTCAATTGGGAACCATGTTCTCTTGTGTACCCAGCTTATGAGTAATGGTCCTTGAAGGAGCAGCCCCTTCATATCTGTATCCTGTACTTTCCTCACTCTGTTCAAAATCCTCCTACCTCATCTTTGAGAGCTACAGGGATAAATCATAGATAATTTGTCACCATGTACGATATTTCAAATGGAGTCTCCAAAACAAAACAAACCCCAAACCAATCAAAACAACAACAAAAATGACAGCATGAACTGCAGAATCATTCCTCACAGAATCTGCAGAGAGAGGTTCATGGTTGGCTCATATTTGCTGTTTTCTTCAAAGATTGTATTTTTCCCATGAATAATCCCCTTCAGATGGTATTAGGGTAGCAGTGTGAAAGCCATGAATCTTCTAGAAAAGAATCTGCTTCTCAGACCCTCAAGATGAGGAAAAGTTCATCTTGATGGGTGCTTCCCCTTTTCCAGTCAATGAACAAGTCACCAAATCGCCACACTTTCTCAGATATGGAGGATAGTGGCTTATGAACTTTGTCTTCCAATTCCATCAGGACCCACCCATGTATCTTATCAGGTCCCATCAGCCTGTGCACCTTCAGGCTACTTAGATGCTCTCGAACCTGATCCCCTCCTAGGGTGGAAAGTTGTCATTCTTCCAGCCCCCCTGCCTGGCCTTCTGCAGCTGGTGTGAGTGGAGCTCTTTGCAGTGAAAACTGAGGGGGAAAAAAAAAGTTGAGTGCCTCAGCCTTCTCCATATCCAAGTAACCAGGTCTATGGTTTCCTCTGGGGAAAGGCACACATTTTCCCTAGTGTTTTTGATGAAATTCCACTGTAATTCTGTTTTCAAGGGAGGATGCTTTGTTCCAGTAATTTTGTGTGATTCAAAGAGTCCAACTGTGGAATTAGAATGATTTTAAGGAAAGAACTGAAAGGTATATTTTAAAGGC